AAATTTTTAAATTTAAATTTTAATTTTTTAGGGACAGGGTCTCTCTTTGCTGCCCAGGCTGGTCTTGAACTCCTGGGCTCAAGCAATCCTCCCACCTCAACCTCCCAAAGGGCTGGGATTACAGGCATGAGCCACTGTGCCCAGCCTTTCCACTTTAAGCTTTTAAAGTCATCCTTCGGAATTGAGAAAAAGAATGTTTTTGGGGGAGGGGAGATATCTGGCTTTTGAAGAAGTTAAAACATTTTGGTTTTATTTTACAAGAACAAGAAAAGACACTTACTTTGTTTTATTTATTTTTATTCTTAAAATTTCAGGTTTTATTTTAGCTTCAGGGGATACATGTGCAGATGTGTTACAAAGGTATATTGTATGATGGTGAGGTTTGGGGTGTGATTAAACCTGCCACCAAGGCAGTGAGCATAGTACCCGGTTTTTCCACCCTTGCCCTTCACTTCCTCCTCCCTCTTATATTCCCCCGTGTCTATTGTTCACATCCAAAGAGCTATTTTAAAATGCTGCAATATTAAGACCCAAAAGCATGATTCTAAGCTCCTTTTGTAATTTTTTCTGCTATGCAGAGATGAATTCAACTGGCTGGTTTCTAGCCCATCAGGTAAGGAATTGCCTACCACATGTAGGCACTGTAAATACTTTTCAACTCAGCAAACAAACAAATATCACACCCCAGGAAATGCTTGTAATTTGGAGGGCGAATGTTGCTTCTCCAAGTGGGGGCTGGGGGATGTTTGTCTGCTGCTCTTATCAGGAGAAATCTTCATTAACATGAGATTGTGAACTCTGGGAATTCTCTCTTAGCTGGATATTTATAGCTAAGCCTGCAGGCTTAACTCCTCCTTAAACAGGCTGGTCATTTGACTTCACTTTCTATCCCAAGCCCCACGCTGACATTCATTCTCCAAGGCAAATGCAAGCCCACAGCTAAACAGTAGCCCAAAGGGCCACTGCAGATGCAGAAGAATAAAAGTAGGAATGCCCTGCATAGAAGGGGAGGGGAAATCACAGTGAGAAGAAATTCAGTTCAGGGACCACTCTCTGAGAGTGATCAACGTGCCAGGCACTGGAAAAATAATCAGTCCCAGAACTGAAGGAGTCTACAATTTGGGAGGGAGGACAGATTCACACTCAGATTTAATATAACATGACATGTATTATTACAGAGACTTCATGATTAACAAGGGCTGAGAAGAGAGGAATTGAGACAGGTATAGGGGAAGTTTCTTGAATGAAGTGGAAGCCACATAAAAATGCATGCAAACATCAGGGTGGAAGGCACTGTTTTTGGCGGGGGTGGGGTGGAGGTTGGGGTGGGGGGAGGGCTATGACAATTTAACATTTCTAGATCATGTGAAAATGTTTGCTTAATCAAAGATCAGTACAAAACTGGTCCCTGCTGATTTATGGTGAAATATCTATAGCCAAATATAATGTGGGATTCTACAATACGAGTACAGACCTATTTAGTGAAAAAGGTAGATCTTGCATGAGGAACAATGAACTGTCCCAATCTCATATAGATTCTCTTTGGGACAGAGTACCACTCTACCGCCCAGGCTGGAGTGCAATGGCACCATCTGAGCTCTTTGTAACTCTGCCTCCTGAGCTCAAGTGATCCTCCCACCTCATCCTCCCAAGTGGCTGGGACTACAGGTGTGCACTACCACACCCAGCCAATTTTTGTATATTTTTATAGAGATGAGGTCTGACTATGTTGCCCAGCCTGGTCTCAAACTCCTGAGATGAAGTGATTCACCCACCTTGGCCTCTCAAAGTGCTAGGATTACAGACATGAGCCACCATGCCCAGCCTCCAATCTCATGTAGATTTTCTTGAGTCTTTACCTTATTTGCAGAGCAGGGGTCCCTTACCTTGGACTATGGACCAGTAGTGGTCCATGGCCTGTCAGGAATCAGGCTGTACATCAGGAGGTGAGCAGTGGGCAAGTAAGCGAAGCTTCATCAGTATTTACAGCCACTCCTCATTGCTGAAATTATGGTGTGAGCTGCTCCTCCTGTCAGATCAGTGACAGCATTAGATTTCATAGGAGTATGAATCCTGTTCTGAACTGCATATGTGAAGGATCTGGGTTGTGCGCTCCTTATAAGAATCCAATGCCTGATGATCCATCACTGTTTCCCATCACTCCCATATGGGACTGAGGGTGCAGAAAAGCAAGCTCAGGGCTCCCACTGATTCTACATTATGGTAAGTTGTATAATCATTTCATTATATATTACAATATAATAACAATATAAATAAAGTGCACAATAAATGTAATACACTTGAATCATCCTAAAGCCACACCCCCATCACCCCCAGTTCATGGAAAAATTGTCTTCCATGAAACTGGTCCCTGGTGCTAAAAAGACTGGGGACACCACTGCTCTAGAGGAATCTATTCTATTTTGTTTATTTAAAATGATCTTGTGTTGTTAAAGATACAAGGTATTTTAAACTATTCATTCAGTGAGTCACTCATTCATCAGATGTTTACTGGAAACTTCCTACATCCAAAATGTTAGCTTCCTACACAAATAAACAGGTTTAACTAGTCAGGAAGGTACTGAAGTTGTGTTTAACCCAGCAAGACTGAAGTAGAAAAATGCAGAATCCGTATTAAATATTAATGAAGGCTAGGAGCCCCTGTGAACGCAGGGTTGTCACAGCAATTGAGGCAACCTCTGAGCTGCCTGGTGGTAGGGTACCCCAGAGTTGGGCCAGATCTTGGAGATTGGCACAAAAGAGTTGGCTCTACTTTTCTCTCCTTTTTTCCCCTTCTATCTTGGAAGAAGGAAAAGTTAAAGGCTAGCGCCTGCCAGGGAAAGAAGTGATTCTGACAGATTGGAAGGCAGTCCCAAAGAAGGGTGTTTGCTAGGTATTAGGATCAACTTTGCATTGAAGGTTTGATGCCTAGAGGAAAGGGGCAGTAAAGTAGGGGTTTTTCAGGAATGAAGCCACAAGCCAAGAGGTGCCAGGTTTCAGAGACTCAAAGTTCTCAAACTGCTTGAGGCCATTTGGAGCCAAAGCTGCTAGTGGCTACAAGGCCCTTTGAATCCTGGAGTTCTGGAGGGAATACAATGCCAGGGGCTCCAGACATGGAAGGGAAGGGAACAGAGCCGTATCATAACAAGGCTGGAGATTTTGAGGCTGAAGGGGCTGTTTGAAACCTAGGGCGAGTGCAACTCCAGGCTCCAAACGCTGAAGTGGAAGGAAAAATGGGTAAGCTGGTGACAATGCTTAGACTCCAGAGGTTTCCTTCAAAAGTAGGGACTGTGCAGTAAATTATTTTCCTAGACCTTCACATTGAAATTCAACAAGCAATTACTGAACATCTAAAAATTCCATGGGACTGTGTTACATGCTTCACAGACAAACTTACATCTGCTCTTCTATGCTCCAAATTGAATATCTTTCCTTGCTAAGTTATAGTGACAATGTATATGTATATTATTGAGTTATATTTTGCCAATAAAACTTTTAATTGGCTTAAGGAGGTAGATTCCATTCCAGAGTTCTCCAGAGACCCATTCACTAAAAGAGAAACAGGCTGCTCTGGGGTTAAGCTTCCATGGACGCTGGCAAGCTGTTGTGTGATAATGTGAGCAAACGGCAAGCACTTACTAATACAGAAGGGAAGAGAGTGGGCCTGGGGAGTGACACACCTGCTGTAGAGTTCATACAGAAGAAAATACACTTAAAAGTGCATAGGAACTTGGATTCATTCAGTTTAATTAACTCACTGATTCTACAGACAAGGTTTTGAGAACGTGAGAGGTTAGGCAACTGTCCCAAGTTATATATGTAGGTGCCCCTTTCTTAACACATGTTTGCCTTACATATTTGAGGGTTATTCAGAACAGTACCATATACGTCTATTAACAATTCATAAACACTTTTTCACAATAACAAAGAAATAGAACCCCAACTGAATCTGGGCCTTCTCTTTCACCATGCCACCAGGCTGCCCCAGCACCAAAGCCCAGTGTCACTCACAGAAGGAATCCTTCTCCCCTATGTGTTAACTCAAATGCACAGGCCAGGTCTTCCTCTGGTGAAGTGTCATATATGACTATTGGCCCAAGAGTACTCCACTCTGCAGTGGGCTGAATGATGGTCTCCAAAAAGATCTATTTGTGTCTTAACTCCTAGAACCTGTGGATGTGACTTTATTTGGAGAAAGGATCTTTGCAGATGTCATTAAGGGATCTTGAGATGGGGGAACCATCCTGGATTATCTGGGTGAGCCCTAAATGCCATGGCAAGTGTCCTTATAAGACACAGAGGAGAAGACAGATACAGTAGATAGATGAAGGCAATGTGAACATAGACACAGAAATTCGCGTGATGCAGCCACAAGTCAGAAAGGCTGGAAGAGGCAAGGAACGGGTTCTGCTCAAGGCTGTGGAAGGAACATGGCCCTGTCCACAACTTGATATCAGACTTTCAGCCTTCAGAATTCAGAGAGAATAGATTTCTCTTGTTCTAAGCCACCAATTTGTAGTGTTGCGTTACTGCATCCATGGGAAACATGCATAGCCTCCAATGACATGTCTGATCTTTCTATCACATTCATTTCTCCTTCTCTGAAATGTCTATGAATCCAGTCATTTCAGCACTGGGCAGACCTCAGACACCATGAAAATCAGCAGCAATACTTTAATATGGTTTTGAAAGATTTCTTTTTCTTAAACAAATTAAGTTTATTAAGATGAGGATGGATGTTCCAGCTTTGTATCAAATGAATGACAAAAATAAGTTTCCCGCTAGTCCCTGCAAGGAATCTGTGAATTAGAGAAAGATGTAGGCTCAGAAATATGGCGGTGCCGGGGCAGTGAGAGGCACAGAGAAAGAATTTATCTTCACTGCAGGAAGCCTCCTAGAAAGTTGCCCAGCACGGTGGCTCATTCATGCCTGTAATTGCAACATCTTGGGAGGCCCAGGCGGGAGGATCGCTTGAGCCCTGGAGTTTGAGACCAGCCTGAATGTTCGCATTTGACCACATACAGTTCTTTACATGGCTGATTCAGAAACTTTCATTAGTCTGGAAGAGTGTCGTGGCCATAAGAGAGCAAGGAAAAGAACTAGTATGGAAACAGCACTTGCCCTTGAGAAGCTATTCCCCAAACGATGACAGGTCCTTGGGATTGTGACCCCAGGAATTGTAGTGACTCCAATGGGATCAGGTAGCAATCGACCTCAGGAAATAGAAATTGGAGAATCTGGTTTTGCTTTATTATTCCCTCAAATTGAAGGAATAAAAATACAACCCTTTCATTTTATTAAGGATCCAAAGAATTTAGCATTAGAAAGACATCAACTCACTGAAGTAGTAACGAGTGTTTTAGAAGTTTTTAGAAGATGCAGGTCTTTTAGATAACCCTGAACTTCGTGTGGTCCTTGTCTTCGGTTATAATTGCTGTAAGGTGGGAGCCAATAATTTTCTGCAGCAAGTAGTCAGCACTTTCAGTGATATGAATATCATCTTGGCTGGAGGCCAGGTGGACAACCTGTCATCACTGACTTCTGAAAAGAACCCGCTGGATATTGATGCCACTGGTGTGGTTGGACTGTCATTTAGTGGACACCGAATCCAGAGTGCTACTGTGCTCCTCAGCGAGGACGTCAATGATGAGAAGACTGCTGAAGCTGCGATGCAGCGCCTCAAAGCGGCCAACATTCCAGAGCAGAACACCATTGGCTTCATGTTTGCATGTGTTGGCAGGGGCTTTCAGTATTACAGAGCCAAGGGGAATGTTGAGGCTGATGCATTTAGAAAGTATTTTCCTAGTGTGCCCTTATTTGGCTTCTTTGGAAATGGAGAAATTGGATGTGATCGGATAGTCACTGGGAACTTTATATTGAGGAAATGTAATGAGGTAAAAGATGATGATCTGTTTCATAGCTATACAACCATAATGGCACTCATACATCTAGGGTCATCTAAATAAAGACATCTTTAAAGTGGCTTTTATAAAATAAAAAAAAAAAAATAAGTTTCCCAACTTCAGACTTTCCTTCAAATTTACCAGTTGCCTCCTTTATTCGGTGTCCTGTGAAATTCAACACAGGAATAGATATGATAAGGCAGAAAATTAGCCCAATATAGCTTGTTGCAACATAAAGCATCTGCCTAGTCCAGGCCATCATTATTTTCTGCGTTGATTACAGATATAGCCTGTCTTGCTGTCTCTATTTCTCCAAACTCTAATCCAACGTTTCTTAAATGGTATCTTAAACTGTTTTTGTCCATGACACTGTAAGAAATACATCATGTAGCAGTGCACAAATATATAAAAATAGAGAGATCAATGCATGCTGCCTTTTAAAATTCTCTTTCATTCTCCGTCTTTCTCCCTCTTAAAGTATGGGCCATGACCCATCTGCTATACTTCACAGTCCAAAGCTGTCAGGCTGCATCCCATACCGATGCTGTGGCCACCTTTCTAAAAAATGCATCTCATTTTCTCCTGCCCTTAATTAAAATCCTCCCATAGCCCCCACCACCTTCATTCATTACAATAATACTTTTCCATTGAGAACTCATAGGACCACACTGAAAAAATAACTGAGGGTTAATATTTTAGAAATACATAATATTTTAAAAATACATAATTCATGTTTCGACAGAGCATAATATATATACATATATAAACAATATATACACATCCCCAAAGTTTTCAAACTTTGCATTACTCTCTCTTGCATTACTCTCTCAAGCAGCTGAACTCTCAGACCAGCTATCATATTCTCATGTGCTTAGCTATTTACTCAATTATTATTATTATTATTATTTTTTGAAACGGAGTTTCGCTCGTTACCCAGGCTGGAGTGCAATGGCGCGATCTCGGCTCACCACAACTTCCGCCTCCTGGGTTCAGGCAATTCTCCTGCCTCAGCCTCCTGAGTAGCTGGGATTACAGGCATGCGCCACCGTGCCCAGCTAATTTTTTTTTTGTATTTTTAGTAGAGACGGGGTTTCACCTTGTTGACCAGGATGGTCTCGATCTCTTGACCTCGTGATCCACCCGCCTCAGCCTCCCAAAGTGCTGGGATTACAGGCGTGAGCCACCGCGCCCGGCCTACTCACTTATTTTTTAAGATTAAATCACTCAGTTCTTCCTTCTTTCTCCTCTCACCCCTTATGTATCCAGCCAATACTGAAGCTCTTTCAAAAAATGCATGATATTAGCTACTCAGTGCTAGGAATGTCAGGAGCCCTCATGGAACAGTCTAACTCAAAAATCCTTCCCAGACCCTCTTGTTTGTCCTCCTTGAATGGCCTAGGGAGATGATCTCTAATGACAGAGGATTTATCACCTGTTTCACATTCCTGCCTGTCTCTGACTGTGAGCTTTGAGGCCACTTATTTTCTCTGTCAATTCCTGATAAAGTCTCATATAGTTCATGTGTCTGTGTCTCCTTGCAGTTCTGTCATCTGTTTGCTTCACAGCCTCACTTCCAACACTGTTCCTGGCCAATAGTAAGACTTGAGGAAGAAATGAAAAAAAGAAAGTTGGAGGAAAAGGGGGGAAAAAGGATCTGAATAGGGTTAAAAAAAAAAAAACCTAGCTTCTATTATAATATGAAAGAACAAAAATTGGAAAGAAAATTGCAATGCCAGTGGGGAGAGATTTAAAAATAAAGAAGGCTGTGGAGGGGAGAAAAAACTTCCCAACTCTTTCAAATCTAGACTAGAGGTAAATCCAGAAAGAATTTCAATTTATATGAAGCAACAGACCATTCAAATCCCTACCCCACAATCCAAAGCCTTAACCAGGCACCATGAAATGCACTTTCTTTTTTCTGGAAGCCATGCTTATAAATTCACCCCTTCTCAGTCTTGTTCCATTGAAACAATTTCTGCCCCCACCTGCCAGAATCCTGTTGAAACTCAGCTGAAAGTAATTTTCAGAGTTTTAAAGTGCATAATGACATCATCAGCTCCCTGTGCCATGCTCTGATTCCAGGAAGGGCCACATTAGCACTTCAGGAAAGAGAAGATCCATGCTCTGCTTAAATCTTGCTGGTGTCATAAAGAATGCTTAATGTCTTATAATACAGACTTCTGTTTCACAAAAAAATTTTTCATTTATTTTGCACTGGAAAACTGCAAATGGATACCCCTAATCCTGCAGCTGGGGGAGTCACTTCAGAATAGGGAAATGGCCTTATTGACACCTAGTATGAGGGACCCAATTCAAGTGGTCCTTTGATGATAAGGAATAGTGATCTCTGCATTCTGCCAACAAGTCTATTAGTGAGTTAAAGGCAGAGGGGTTAATGAAACAGCACCTGACTCTATGGGCTTCTACTGTAAGTTACCTGAAAACACCACCATAAAGTATTGCCTCTCTTTTGCTTTTGCCTCTACATTAACAAGATACTGTTAATTTTGTGCCTGCCTTATAGTGGTGATTCTCATCAAAGACCAGTTTATCTTTCATATGAAAAAAAAAAAGCATGTCAGTAGACCATCCATCTGCCAGTATGGCCTACCAGATGATGTTCTCCATGGCTTTGGTTGGTAAATTCATTTTACTGTGCATAAATAGGAGATTCCAATGCCTTTAAAATGCTTAGGAGCAAATCTGGTCAAATTTAAGGTAAGAGACAAGGCCTTAAGGACGCTCATTTTGCCGAGGTACAAACCACTCTCTAGTTATCAGCAGAGCAAAAGGACAATTTTTAAGAAAAATTATGCAATGGATCCTGCCTGCCCAAATAAAAGAAAAACATCCATTTGTGTAAGTAAATGTAGATATGCCTTGTTAGGTGAAATGATGCTGGAGTTCACTTACCATTCCGGACTTGAAACATCTTAGTTCCTTCAAGGTCAAAGTGACCTCCCTTCAGTTAGATATTGGCTCAAATTGGCTCTCATCGGTTAGTATTTTTCTATCCAAGTTGCTTATTTCTGAATTTTACTTTCATTCTAAATTTTAGTCTCTTATCCTTAAAATATGACTCTCTTCCTGTACCTAATTTTTTTGTGTGTGTAACAGTCAGTAAAATAGTGAGAAATCACTGGGAGCAGGTGCTTTTCCCCCAATAAGAATCTGCTCCTTGCCCTTAGGAAATAGTGAAAGAGACATGAAACTCACTATGTGTGCTAGCAGTGAGAAATAATGTTGGTCCAAAACACAAAGATGACTGCAAATTAAGAGAGGAAAATATAAGAAATAGTACCACTTTAAAGGATTTGAATACAATAATACATAAAGAGGCTACATGAAACTATTCAAGGACTGATTCCTGGAAAAAGCAAGAATTGCTAAGTATGTATTAGTTTAGGGTATTTTGTGGGGGATGTGCAATTTCATCTCTTGGTATTTGTTTCCTTTACTTGTCAAATGCACATTAACATTATTTATCTTGACATTTATTCCCCTCCATTTGCAATCAGAAATATTAAATCCTAAAAGAAAAACAAAAAATGCCTTATTTTCCATCTGCTTTGTCTTTTCTATTTCCTATATTTGTATCATTTTAACTATTTAATCTTATGATCTATTAGTGCTACATATTCATATTTTAGTCTCAATATGTTATTCATTCACGTTCAAACCTACTTCCGTCTTTCTAGAATTCACTTTATTTCTTTCCTTCACCGGGATCCTTCAGTTCATTCATCACCTCCTGTCCCGATCTCTGTAATTTGCCTGTGTTGGTCTTCTGACATTCCTTCTCAAAACACTATTGAAATCCTATTTAAAGCCTTGAATTTCAAATAATTTATTCCCCCACTCCATCAACCCCACTGATTACCAGTTCATCTCTTCCTCACATTTAAAAGGCTGATTCTCATTTCCCTACAAGCACTTTATAAAGCTTTAACTAACATTATCTATTTCTTCCACAAAATTACATGTATTTTCATCTCTTTGTGAAGTCTGTTTTCTAATTGGTTTCATTTATTTAGCTTATCTCTCCAATTTTCTTCTTTTATAGTTATTTTTCATAACTCTCCTTATTGTGCCACTTTTAATCATGGAAATGCACCTTGGTTTAAATGGCCTGAAGATAAATATTGAAAACGCATATGCGAATCGTCTAAACCTGATTACCTAACGGTTTGGGTGAGGATAAAAGGAACATGAAGATAAATTGTCACCAGCCAGATTTAAATACATAACAAGCCGTGGCATTTATACTCCCATATCCAACGCTTACAATTTCCTCTCACCACCTATCTTTCTCAAGGTTAGAAACAGGAAAGTAATCTCAGATGCATCTTTCTCCTTGGTCCAAATTTTCGTTTTCATTTGTAGAAGCCAGTCTCTTCACATATGGACCAGACCATTTACAAATCAGAAGTTGTTTTGAGCAAAGAAAAAGAAAGTTCAAGAACCACTTAATAGTTTCACCAATACCTTTTAACACTGTACAGTTTTCAAATCACTTCCATGATCATAGTCAATACTTTAATCCATTGATGCTCAATAAAAAGGGTAAATATAACAAGATCAAAAGCAAAAAAAAAATGTTGGTTAATAAAATTTTGAGCATAATTTATTAACATCACTTCTTAAAATCCTAAGCAATGTTTTTCTATAACTGAGAAGATCTCAATGAGTAATTTGCAACATGATTCTCTTCAGAATATGGTGCCATGATTAAGGTTGAAATCTTCCTAATTCTAAATCTGCCTTAGAGCAGGCAAAATGAAAGTACAGGAGTGTACAAAATGAAAGTACACTTTTTTCTTCATTTAAATAGTTGGCATATCTTTTTATTTCTTTGGAGGAAGAGACTCTCAAGAAGGATACATCATATTCACAGAAAACAGATATTCGTGCATCTGGTTCTGGGTTGTTTATAAAACAACAATCACATCCCTCCTTGCTTCTAAAGACGTTTCAGTCCAGCCTCTTAGGCCTCTTTATGTTAGTCTCTATTACACCATTTGCCCTTTCAAGGCTCAGAGAACCCCACTCAATCCAATGCTCAATTACACACATGCATTCTTTACCTGTGGGCTTCACTAGGATTTTACTAGTGGCCATTGCTGCATGAATGGAATAGAAAGATCACTGGGAATTTGCATAAACTGTATTAAAACCTGCATGCATTTGCCTAAATTATGAAATCTAATCAAATGCAGTTTTAAAATTGAAATCGAATTCTGGTTATCTCCTGGGATGCTATATTCCTAAAAGGGGTTATCAACTCAAATGACTGGGGAGAGGATACAGCAGATAACATAAAAGAGCAGAACAGACCCAAAACTAAGTGTAAAAAAATAAGAGGTGGAGACTGTAGTGGACAAGGACAGGGCCTTAGCAAAAATTACTGAGCCAACGAAAATACATCTCTGACTGACAGGCAGCTAGAGGGTACAGGTCTACAGCTCTTATTACTGTTGAGTAGAAATTGCCTCTGAACTCCTCCCACAAACACAATGACCCATTTATCCAAGGGTGGTTTTTATCACGCACCCACCCTTCCCTTATGCTAATCATCTATATCTACTACAAACACCTAAGGCACTTAAATTTCAGCCAATTTGGAAAAGCAAGTAGCTTTGACCCAAATTTGGGTGGGAGATAGAAACTAAGTGTTACACTGTAAAAAGGAACTCTTTTCTTCAGGCCAAGATTAATGGAATGGATTCTTCCATAGTAGCCATGTCTTCCAGGGAGAGGATTACAAGATAAAATACAGGACACTCTGTTACATTTGAATTTATGTGCTGTTGATAAGCAACACATAATTTGTTCGTATAAGTATGTCCCAAATATTGCATGGGTTATACTCATAGTAAACTTACCTTTGTTCATCTGAAATTCAAATTGAAGTAGGCATCCTGCATTTTTATTTGCTGAATCTGTCAACCTTGCCCAGGATCAGCACTTCCTTGGAGGATGCTTTCAGTTCCAGGTCTTCTTGTCTCACATGACAGTAATGGGTAGACAGTGGAGTCACTGGCAGAGTAGTGGAAGGGATTAATACCTGGACTCTAGAATAAACTCAACTGCTTGGGTTCAAAACCCAGCTTCACAACCTCATGAAAATGTGGTTAATTCTTACACATCTGTTAGTTTCCCAGTCTACAAAATCAGGATGATAGTAAACACTTTATTGTATGCAGCTAGTCCTAAGAAGAAATGGGACAACCCATATCTAAGCGTGAGGCACCATGTTTTGGCACACTGTAGAGACTCAGTAAATGCTACCATGTTTAAGCCAAAGGAACCTCCCTTTGTTGCCTTGTCTGGTACAGAAGGCAATCTACCTGCTAATTAGGATGGTTTTCTAGCAAACATTTAAAATTATCTTACTGATATGACAAATATTTATTTAGCATTTCTCATATGCCCCTTTGTTGGGGGAACATATAATTTAAAATTCAAATTCAGAAAAAAATATGGTTTTAAATTTAAATACAGGGTTTCAGAAATTCTTAAGAAAGGTTACATTAAACTCACAGGATAGACTGTCAATCTTCATTTGTTTCTCAGTCCTACTTGTTTTCTTTTTGTTTCTTTTATCTTCCAATCTCTCTTCTTTATCTTATCAGAAGGCAAATATAAGAGCAGCAGATAGTTACTTGTTTTACCCACAAGACAGAGCAGGATGCTTTATCCATGACAAATGATGTATTTGACCTCCAGACACCAACCTCCCAACACACACACATTCATCCACCTGTCCTACCTCTATGACCCACACCCCACCCTGAAACTGTGTGTGTCTTAGGGAATTATTGTTCTCCTCTTAACTTAATAATCTGGAAATGCAGACAGAGCAGTTAAGAACCTGCTCAAGGGTGCACACAGGAAGCCAGTTGAAGAGCTGAAATGAGACCAGCCCAGTTCTTGGCTCCCTGCCCAGTGCTCTGTCCAAGATACGATAGTGGAAATGTGGGTCTGCTGAATAGAGGCCCCGTGGTTGCTAGGGCACAGGATGAAGCCAAAGTTGGAAAACTCTTATGACGCTCCCCATGGCGATTAATCTGTTTGAAGGTCTGGGCTCTGAACCTTGGATTCCAGGTCTGCATTCCTTCATAAAACCTCCTGTTTTGAAAGCCACAGTCAATGACCCTGTGGGTTTAACTAGATGCATTCTTACAAAGCAGAGTCATAAAGGAGAGCTCCTAAGTGATTGGAATCTGCCAACATGCTGTCTTGTGCCCCTGGCTCCCAGTATGGGGGCCTGGGAGAAGAGAATCCCACGCCAAGTCAATTTTCACTGCTTGGGCTACCAGTGAGGAATGCTGGGCTTCCTTAGAGGCATGGCTGTCATTTTGGATGCTCTTCTTAATGAAGGCTTAGGCAATAATCTAAAAGGTCAGTGCTTGCTCACACTGTGGTGCTGGTGGCCACGCTTAAATCGCATATCCACGGTTGGTAGGGTAGGGTCTGTTTCAGGCATGATGAAACTCACATCTCTTTAACCTGATCAGATGAAATCTATATGCATTTTGCTTTTAAAAGCTTCAAAGTCTTTATCTAGTTCAGTGAACAAGCTAAAGGAAAGGTAAAGTCAAGTGCCACAGCATCCTAGAAAGGAATCTGTTACACTCCCCACCCCCACACCCTGCTCTCATTAACTGTTTTCATGAGAACTAGAGAAAAACAAGAACAAGTGATCACATGATTCTGGTTTAGAAAAGGAAAACGGTCTCCATCTTGTTTAAGGATCTTCAGAAAGGTATCTCCTAGAAAACTTCGCTATACTTTCCTAGGACATTCCTTTGGCTGAGACAGCCCCACTACTTAGAAGGACACTGGAACCACAACTGTATGATGATCAGCCCATCTATTTCAGATATCTGTGCTTAATTATGTATGACATAATTTGGAACTTTATGAAATAAAGCCCAACTAGTAGGCTCATGGTTTTTACCAGCCAAGTCTGTATTTTACTGTAGCCTGATAACATTTCAGTTTTCCTTTTGGAAACTGTGCTTCCTCCATTATTCTCAGTCTGTGTGGTTAAGATGAGGTTGATCCCTCTTCTGCAATAAGGCATATAACCTCAGCTTGGGTGATCACCATTTCCTTCCCTCTTGCCAAAATAATTGGCTCCATATTGTCCCTGAGACCCAGCTCAGGCCAACTAGAGTCAGCCCTAAAACTTTTCTAGATCCATGAGGAAGGTGGCACTTTCCTACTACTGGACTTGCAAGGCTGGAAGATCATATGTGTTCCACCCTAAAGGGAAAAGTAAGCCTGAGTAAAAATAAAGAAAGTGGGAGAGTATCTGATCTGAGCAATGTAGACATTGATTTATATTGATATTGCCCACACACTTAGAGCCAACTATAGAGCAAGTCAGTAATACCCCTGTTGTTTTCAGGAACAAGAGCCAAGGCACCTCGCCTTTTTGGTTAAGCCAACTTGGATTGGGTTTTCATTACTCGCACTGGAAAGACTGCTGATAATGGTGTAATAAAGGTTTTATTGAGATTTCCCAGGTTCAAACTATATAATGAGAATTACATGTACCAGGGACTACACATACTCATACATATAAGCAACTACAAAGGATGTGCATGGATTCTGTTACTAGTCTCTGCTTCCTTATCACTAACGTGTAGGAATAGCCACTACCTTTTCTCCCACCCCCTTAACCAAACAGCTAAGCAAAAATTTGTACTCACTCTATCCCTCTTCACTGTCTCCTGCATTGATATTGGCATAGGCAATTCTAACAGGTAGCTGTTTGTTTGCTTGTTTTAGAGGAGGAAGTTGGTTTTAGTTTTTGCTTTAGTTTTATGTGTGTGTGTGTGTGTGTGTGTGTGTGTGTGTGTGTGTGTGTTTGGCTTCTTATTAATGTATGTCAGGGATCAGAAGACTATAGCCCATTTCTTGTTGTTGTAAATAAAGTTTTATTGAAGCACAGCTACCCTGAACTTATAGATTGTTGATGTCTGCTTTAGTACTACCAGGGCAGAGTTGAGTATACAGAGGTACTCATTATATTTTGCTTCACTTTATTGCACTTTGCAGATACGGTGATTTTTTACAAATTGAAAGTTCGTAGTGATCCTGCACTGAGCAAGTCTATCAGCACCATATTTCCAACATTGTGCTTGCCTCATGTCTCTGTGCCACATTTTGATAATTCTTACAATGCTTCAAATTTTTCTTATTATATCTGTTATAGCAATCTGTGATCAATGACCTTTGATATCGTTATTGTAATTGCTTTGGAGTGCCATGAACCATGTCCATATAAGACAGCAAACTTAATCATAAATGCTATATGTGTCTGACTAGTCACCTGACCAGCTGTTCGCCCATGTCTCTCTCCCTTTCCTCAGACCTCCTTATTCCCTAAGACACACGATATTGAAACTAGGCCAAGTAATAACCCCTCAATGTCCTCTTAATGTTTAAGTAAAAGGAAGAATTTCACTTCTCTCATTTTAAATTAAAAGCCAAGATAGGCCAAAAGCTAAGTGTCTTGTGTCAAATAGGTAGTCAAGTTGTGAAGGCAAAGGAAAAGTATTTGAAACAAATTTAAAGTACTATTCCAGTGAATATATGAATAAGAAAGAGAAATGGCTTATTACTTACATGGAGAAAGTTTTTGTGGTCTAGATAGAAGATCAAAACTGCTACAATGTTCCCATAAGCCAAAGTCTAATCTAGGGCAAGGTCCTAACTCTCTTCAATTCTGTAAGGATGAAGAGGGGTGAGAAAGCTTTAGAAGAAATGTTGAAGCTAGCAGAGGTTGGTTCATGAGGTTAAAGGAAAGAAGCTGTCTCTATAACATAAAACTGCAAGGTGAAGCAGCACATGCTCATGTGGAAGCTGCAGCAAAGTATCTGGAATATCTAGTTAAGATCAGTGATGAATATGGCTATACTCACCAACAGATTTTTAACTGTTTTGAGACTAAAAATTGGAGGATGACACCATCTAGGACATTCATAGCTAGAGAAAAGTCAATGCTGGCTTCAAAGCATCAAAGAAAGGCTGATTCTTTTTCTTAGGGGCTTATGCAAGTGGTGATTTTTTTTTTTTAGACAGAGTTTTGCTCTTGTTACCCAGGCTGGAGTGCAATGGTGCGATCTCGGCTCACTGCAACCTCCGCCTCCTGTGTTCAGGAAATTCTCCTGCCTCAGCCTCCTGAGTAGCTGGGATTACAGGCACGTGCCACAATGCCCAGCTAATTTTTTGTATTTTGAGTAGAGACGGGGTTTCACCATGTTGACCAGGATGGTCTCGATCTCTTGACCTCGTGATCCACCCACCTTGGCCTCCCAAAGTGCTGGGATTACAGGCTTGAACCACCGCGCCTGGCCGCAAGTGGTGATTTTAAGTTAAGCCAATGCTCATTTGCCATTCTGAAAGTTCTAGAGCCTTTAAGAATTATGCTAATCAACTCTGTCTGCACTCTATAAGTGCAACAACAAAGCTGGGATGTTAGCACATATGTTAACACAATGGTTAACTGAATATTTTAAGCCAACTGTTGAGACCTACTGCTTGATTTAAAAGAAGATTTATTTCAAAATATTACTGCTCACTGACAATGTGCCTAATTACCTAAGAGCTCTGATGGAGATGTACAAACAGATTAATGTTTCCATGCCTGCTAATACAACATGCATTCTGTAGCCCATGGATGAAGGGGTGATTTTAACTTTCAAGTCATATTATTTAAGAAATATATTTTGTAAGGTTATAGTTTCAATAGACTGTGATTCTCCTGATGGATATGAGTGAAGCAAATTGAAAACCTTCTGGAAAATATTTGCTGTATTAGATGCCATTAATAACATTTGTGATTTATGGGAGGTAAAAATATCAACGTTAACATGAATCTGGAAAAAGTTGATTCCAACTATCATGGATTGTTTCAAGGGGTTCAAGACGTTTGTGGAGAGAGTAACTACAGATGTGATATAAATAGCAAGAGAACTAGAATTAGAAGTAGAGCCTGAAGATTTGACTGAATTTCTATGATCTCATGATAAAACTTGAATGGATGAGAAGTTGCTTCTTATAGATAAGCAAAGAAAGTAGTCTTGAGATGGAATCTCCTCCTGATGGAGATCTTAAATGACAATAAAAGGTTTAGAATATTAAATAAATGTGGCTGATAAAGCAACAGCAAGCTTTAAGAGGATCATCTCCAAGTTTGAAGGAAACTCTACAGAGAGTGAAATGCTATCAAACACCATTATAGGCAATAGAGAACTCTTTCATGAAAGACAAAGTAAATCAATGCAGAAAACATCATTGTGGTTTGATTTTATAAAATTGCCATAGTCACCCCAACATTCAGCAACCACCACTCGGATGAGTTAGCAGCCATCAGTATCAATGCAAGACCCTTGACCAGTGACAAGACTGTGACTCACCAAAGGCTCAGATGATTGTCAGCAATTTTTAGCAATAAAGTATTTTTAAATGAAGGTAGGTACCTTTTTAGACATAATGCTATTGCATACTTATTAGATTACAGTATAGTGTAAACATAACTTTTATACACATTGAGAGACAAAGAAAAATTTGTGACTCACCTTAATACAGTATTTACTTTATTGCTGTGCTCT